GACTCATTGTATTTAAAAAAGGAGAGAGCTCCCGGCGGATGGCCTTCACTTTAGATTTTTAAAAGGCTGCAAACTGGTCAGGTGAGAAACTAGGGGGAGGTCTATCACCTGAACCAGTTCTGGATAGGTCGCACACTATACGGAATAACTCCGCCTGCTGGTTGGATGCTTTGCTTATCCGGTTAGCGAAGAATGATCGACATGCAGCCTTTACCTTATTCAGATAAAGGTTAGTTGCGACCTTAACAGCTATCCAATTATGATCCGTCGAGTTCTTCCTCCATCTACGCTCTAGCCTTCTCCTTATTTGCTTCATCACTCAAAGCTCCTGGTTAAACCAGGGAGCTGGCCGAGGTCTACGATGGAGAGGGCATTTAGGCGTGATCGTGTCTATGGCCCTGGTGGCAGTGGCAGACCAGTTGTCAATCATAGCGTCGACAGGAGCGCTAGCCAGGTCAGCCGTCACCCCTCTCATGACATGGACAATGAAAAAATTGTAATTGTAGAGATGTTGTACACTTTGATTCAATCATCAATCCAAAGGGAGACTGCAACCAAGAAATTGGAAGAAGACTGAGACTAGGAAGGGCAGCAATGAACGAACTAAAAAAGATCATCAAGGAGGCATCACAGGAGACCAAGATCATCCACACTCCCGTGTTTCCTGTCACCATATATGGGTGTGAAAGCTGACTGGAAAAAAATTGATTCATTTGAAATGTGGTGCTGGAGGAGAGCTTTGCAGATACCTTGGACTGTCAGAAAGACAAACAACTGGGTCCTAAAGCATATCAAGTCTTGAACTGTCTCTAGATGCAAAAATGTTGAAACGAAGGCTGTCCTACTTTGGGCACATCATAAGAAGACAGGATTCCCTGGAAAACACAATAATGCTGGGAAAGGTGGAAGGCAGTAGGAAAAGAGGAAGACCAAATATGAAATGGACTGACTCCCTAAAAGAGACAATGGGCTTGAGTCTGCAAGTGTTGAGCAGGGCAGCTGAGGACAGGACATTTTGGAGAGCACTCATTCATAGAGTCGTCATGAATTGGAGGTGACTTGATGGTACATAATAACTCAACATCACCAGATACTTGGGCACTTCAAAATAAAAAAGCAATTCCAAATCAAACTGAATGAGCATCTGATTCTTTTCTAAGATGGAATGAATTTTATAAAGTTGTACATTTAACACTAACAAACACAAAGAGGATTCTGGTCAGGTTTACAGATGAAACCAAACTGGAGAGAGACCTAATATTTTAGGACAGTGGTGCCCAACCTTGGCATTCCCAGAAGCCTTCACCACCAGCTGTGCTGGCCAGGGTTTCTGGGAGTTGTAGTCCAGGGACACCTAATGTTGGGAACCACTCTTTTAGGAGACAGACTCAGGGTTCATGATGAAACAGACTGGTGAACTGGACCAAAAAAAAAAATGTATTTCAACAAGGTTCAATGTAAAATTCTACATTTACAGAGGAAAGATGAAACAGACTGGTGAACTGGACCAAAACAAAAAAAAATGTATTTCAACAACGTTCAATGTAAAAGTCTACATTTACAGAGGAAAAATCAGATATACATAAAGGATGAGTGACTCCCCCTTTGAGACTAATAATAAATGTGAGAAGCATCTAGTGGTTGCTTAGCAGAGCACAAACTAAACATGGGTCAGTAATGTGATGTTGCATCAAAGCAAGCTAATGCAATTGATGAACCTGACACAACGCCGGGAGGCAGTAGAAGACAGGAGGGCCTGGCGTGCTCTGGTCCATGGGGTCACGAAGAGTCGGACACGACTAAACGACTAAACACACACACACAGAGGAAAAATCAGATATACATACAGGATGAGTGACTCCCCCTTTTAGACTAATAATAAATGTGAGAAGCATCTAGTAGTTGCTTAGCAGAGCACAAACTAAACATAGGTCAGTAATGTGATGTTGCATCAAAGCAAGCTAATGCAATTGTCAGCTGCCATCAATAGAGCTATATTTTCCAGGTAAAAAGTAATAGTAGGGATGTGGTGGCGCTGCGGGCTAAACCGCAGAAGCCTGTGCTGCAGGGTCAGAAGACCAAGCAGTCGTAAGATCGAATCCACGAGACGGAGTGAGCGCCCGTCGCTTGTCCCAGCTCCCCCCAACCTAGCGGTTCGAAAGCATGCAAATGCAAGTAGATCAATAGGGACCACCTCGGTGGGAAGGTAACAGCGTTCCGTGTCTAAGTCGCCCTGGCCATGTGACCACGGAAGATTGTCTTCGGACAAAACGCTGGCTCTATGGCTTGGAAACGGGGATGAGCACCGCCCCCTAGAGTCGAACACGACTGGACAAAAATTGTCAAGGGGAACCTTTACCTTTACCTTAAAAAGTAATAGTATAATTCTAATCTGCTTTGACCATTCCTCACTTGGAGTACTGTGTCTGGTTCTGGGCATCATTATTTGAGAAGGATACTGACAAGCTGGAACATGTCCAGGGGGAGGCAACCATGATGACAAAAGGTTTTGGAGCAAGCTGTATTAGGAATGTTTGAGGAAGCTGGGTATGTTTGGCTTGGCAAAGAAAAGGTTCGGAGGTCATAAGATAGCCCCCTTCATATATGGAAAAGAAGGTGACAGGAAGACGGAGCTAGTTTGGTTTCTGAGGCTCCAGAGAGTAGGACCTGAACCAAGAGATTCAAATTACAATGAGCTTCCAATGAAACATTAGGAAGACCCTTGTTGAAACAGGCTGCTTCAGAAGGTGGTGGAGTCTTCTTTCCTGGAGGTTTTTAGGCAGAGGATTGACAGCTTTTCCCTGTGGGTTGCCTCCACTAGCAGGGGTCGGGCTAGGAGACCATTGGCGAACCCTCCACTTCTACAGTTCTATATGATTCTTTGAAGCCTTTTTCATATTGATCTTATCACTAAAAAAAGGAGTTCTGTTATCTGGCCAGATATTCTATTGGAAAAATGGGTCTGGAAACGTTAACTAGGATGAGGTGGAATGTCAGAAAAAAAGTTTGATTCAATAATAAAAAAAAGTTTCATAGTCCTGTTTTAAAACACCCACTTACATAATGCTAGTTCTGTTGATGGGGAAAAAAACAGAGCCAAAAAATGAAAACATACAATACTGGAAGTATGCGTGCACACCCCTAGAACAATGTTTTGTGGCTTTAGGTTGAAGACAAGATGAAGCCCTTTTCTGCTACACACATATAGAATCTGATCAGACCAGCAGTTGCATTTCACTTTGAGACCAGTGAACAAGTTGTCTTGGAAGATACAGGGCAAACCGCAGAATATATAAAGTTGTGGTTTTTTTCCCCCCTCCGATGACTGTTTTCCTGTGGGTTGGTTCTGCACAGCACAACACTTGTACTCTGTACAGCTCGGAAATACTCCTACAGCCCTCCTTCTAACCGCTAGAGGGGAACAGGGTCCCATGAGACGGCTGCCTGCCAACACAGAACTTTTTCAGGCTGCAATCTCCACACAAATTCCAACCCTGCCACTGAACTTGTTTCCCCAAAGCGTTGCTCTTTCACACTGTAAGCCACCAAGTCCTTCTTGGAGATTTGTAACACAAATGTCTCTTACTCTTTCTGCCATAAATAATGCAAATCTTTTCTACAAAAGTTCACATCACATAATTCTAAATAAGAAGATTTGTAGTGTTTCCAAACCAGATTGTTTAAAACCAAATAATCACTTTAAACGACCCTATGGGTTTGGGAGCAGCTTTGGGGTCAGCCCGCTTTCTGAATGTGATACATTTGCTACAATTCATTCTAGGCAACTGGAAGCATTTGTCATTATGACTGTGATGCAGTTTTGTAAATGTCCACAGACATTACTAATGCTCTTATTTATTTATTGAAATTGTATTTTTAATTTATTTTTACTAACCTGCTAAGAAGCTGGTATTCTGTGTTTCCATGCTGACTTCAGAGGAGAGCAAGTCCCATTCTTTGCAGCCAGCTTGGAAATGCACAATACTAGCATCTTATCAAATCGCCTTGTACTAAGCGGATTGGGCGAGTAGGGACAGAAAGATCTGTCCCTCTTCCTCTAGCTGGCTCATTTGCTTATATGGGTTTCCTCTTTACATGTGACTATTAGATTAATTGCTCAGTATAAGGGATACACTCCTGTTCAATGTATAGCACATGCTACATCATTCTATGTGTGCTGGCCCTGTGAGGAAAGCACACCCTACATTGAGAACTAATAACTTCAGCCTATGCTGAGGAAGCATTCACTCACTATATTAAATAAGTCACAGTTACAGCAGGCCCATTTGAATCAATGGAATTATGGAAGAATTTACTCACAAATTCCTCACTTGATTCAACGAGCCTACTCTAGTTCAATTTACTAAAGAACAGGATTTTGGCCAATGTGTGCTGAAGTGACCATCTCACAGCAGCTATTAATATATCTCCCATTAGTTTAAAACAGGATAGAATAAGAAGAATATATATTGCCTTTTGCTCCTTGGAGGAGGAATAGAATACCATGGTAGTAAAGACATTTTTTGAAAGAGAGAGAGAGGGATCACTTTTGTTTCATGGTTGTTGCTATGAACAGATTAATTAGCTAAACATACTGTAGGAAGTATGCTCTGAGCTAAAGCAATTCCTTCAAGCTTGAACCATCTTACAACAGCCATCTAGGATGATAGAGTGGCATGTATACAATTTTGAGACCTCCTCTGAGACGTATAATATGTTTAGTTCCTTGGCATGGAATTTGAGGGAGTGGGGAGAGATACCCATTTTCTTTGTATTCTTTCAACATGAAAGTCATGCCAGGTTGAATAGCTGGTAGTCTCAGGTTGCTATGCCTTTGGGTAGAAGACCTGTGGTTGGATTATCAGGGTCAAGTGGAACATTCATGAGGGCAGGATGGAAAATAAATTTCATTGCCATACATGGAGGACAGGAGTCACCCGGCATTGACACCCTATTTCTGTACTTGGCCTGTCTGCCAGCTGGTAAGTGTTGATATGAAGGTAACTGATCTCAAGAACAACATGGATCCCTAACGACCATAAAGGAACATTACTGGGTGAAGGCTTAAAATAGATTCAGTCAATGTGAAGCACCCAAAGCTGTTTGGGAGCAGTTTTAAACTCTTGTAGCAGTGCTGAAAGAAAAGAGTGATGTGAGTTGTAGTCTCTCGTGCAAGAATTGCTCCCTTATGAACTAGGAAGTGCCCTTAATATTCCCTAGCGCATTGCCTCTCACCTTGATCAGTGGCTGTAACAAAACTCTGCACCCAATAAAATCAAGAGACACAGGATGCTTTCCTATCTGTTAAAACCTCACATCAGGAATGAATTTATTATATCCATCATAAGGGTCTCTTCAACTTCATTTCAGGGATTTTCCATGTAAGCAACAACAACAACAACCCCCAAACAAACAAATTTTCCTTCATCTTCTTCTCATAAGACATATTAGCTTGAGAAAGTCCAGATTCAGACCACAGTACATGGAAATATATCTAATTTCTGAACTCTCATGAGACTCATATTTTATCATAGAGACTCACATTTGTCCTAGCATCCCTCTAGGTTGGAGGCTAAAATATGAAGACCAGAATCCTGCTGCAGTTTTCCACATGTAGAAAGGCAACTTGTACAAGTGTTTTTCACATTTTGTGGGCTGCCTGTCATGTGACTGGGTGTAACCATTTATGCAGCCTAAGGGTGTGACTGACTACGCATGCCACAAGCAGCTTGCACAACAGGGCTCACTGTTGAACTGAAACAGGCTTTTGTACCATCAATCAACTATCAGAAACATATAGATAATATCTGGAGTTCAATAAAGTTATGGAGAACACAGAAGCTGATAGTAAATTACTCAGTAGATAAAATCTTATCCTTTGTCTGTCAGAAATCCTACATAGGTCATAGGGTAGATTCAATCCAGATCCAACCTCTATTCAGTCTCTTTGTTGTTGTTGTTTAGTCGTTAAGTCGTGTCCAACTCTTCGTGACCCCATGGACCACAGGGGGAGGAAGGAGATGCTAAAACAGAAGGAAACCAAACAGGAACAACAATCTGTGTGATAATGTGAGCTTCAAAAACTGGTTTCCATTGCCACACAGCAGTCATGGAGTTAGCGGCCAAGGAAATTGCAGTAATATCCTTGTGGAGCTTTATCCAGTGTTAGATCAGAAAGTTAGATTAGATATTCCACTGGTGTACCAACCATGCTTCCATCCATCATGTCCTCTTGCCTACATGTCTTGGTTGATCTCTGGTGTCATATTTGAGAACCACAAGACTGTAGTCCTAGTGGACCTGAGCACTCCTGAGAGTTCACAGATGGGCAAAAACAAAAGAGCAGAAGTGGCTACAAGTCAGCTTTCAGTTTTGAAAAATTGGTATTTTGAGGTATTAAACCATGTGGGGTGTGTGTGTGCCATCTATTTTAAAAGTGAATTGCCACTCTTACTGCCTACCAGGAGCTGCAGTTCACCTTTTTTGGCTGATAAAGGGGGACTGCTCCCTAAAACTTCCAAAGATTGTTCTAGGGACCCTCCGTTCTACAGAGAATGGAGGGTCCCTAAAACAACCTTTGGAAGCGGTATGCACCCTGCTTTTTTTCTTAAAGCAGGATAATGTATAGTTTATGGGCTGGCTAGATACCTCAGTGGTTTAGGTTTCTGGCTGTGGAGCCAGAAGTTGCAAGTTTGATTCCTCACTGTGCCTCCTGTGAGTACAGCCAACCTGGGTGGGTCTTGGGCAAGCCACACAGTCCCAGGATGCTGTCAGAAGAAGGCAACGGTAAATCACTTCTGAACATTCTCCTGGAAAGCTCTGAAAAGGGTTGCCATAAGTCAGAATCTACATGACAACACATGAGGATGGTGATGATGATAGCTTGTGGGCAGATCATGGTCAGCTTTGCAGCATGAGTCTAAAGAGGTTTTGATGGCTTTGTGCCTTTCACCACCTTTGAGTGCCTGATTAGCTACAACGGATCCTCCACAGGAATAGTTACATTGCAGTGGGTCATGCTCTGGTAACATCCCAATTAGACTACTAGAAAGTATCAGATGTAGGTAAAGGTAAAGGTAAAGGTTTCCCTTGACAATTTTTGTCCAGTCGTGTCCGACTCTAGGGGGTGGCGCTCATCCCGCTCTTCAAGCCATAGAGCCAGCGTTTGTCCGAAGACAATCTTTCCGTGGTCACATGGCCAGTGTGATTTAGACACGGAACGCTGTTTACCTTCCCACCGAGATGGTACCTATTTATCTACTCGCATTTGCATGCTTTCGACCCGCTAGGTTGGCGGGAGCTGGGACAAGCAATGGGCGCTCACTCCGTCGCGTGGAGTCAATCTTACGACTGCTTGGTCTTCTGACCCTGCAGCACAGGCTTCTGCGGTTTAGCCCACAGCGCCACCACGTCCCTCATCAGATGTAGAGCCACCCTTAAATAGGAGGAGGCAAAGGGAGAGAAGGGGGCTCATCTCCCTCAAGTCAGAGGAGTGAGGGGAGGTGGTGGAGGAGCTGGATCCTGCATTTGTTCTCTAGGAGAGGATAGCATGGAAAACCCCTGTACCAGGCTGAGGTTGTTATAGAACAAGATTGTGGGGGGAAGGGATGCTGAACTTCAGCCCACCCACAATACTAACCCTCTCGGTCCCCGTGGAGGCTGCAGAGGAATCCAGGTTCCACCCTGACCTAGTTTTGGGTGCTAGATCAAGAAGCACTACAAGGAGCAATTGCAATGAAGGCAGGAAAGGCTTGGGGACATGGGGAGCCTGTGAGTGTCTAGCAATACAAGCCCTTCCTAAAGGACATTGGTTGGCTGTGATCTTTCTGAAATACCTGACTTCAACCATGGACTGTGGACTGATCCAGCCTAGTGGACAGAACCTGGACTCTAGCAAGGGCTGGACTTGGCAGGGAGTTAGTGAAGTTAACTCATAATTGGGTTCAGGATAGGGTGTGCCAGACACACCACTTCCCATTGTACTCAATTCCTCTACTTTAATAAAGTCCAGTTTCAGCACACAGAGAGTCCTGACTTGAACCCATGACCGAGGAGGACCTTCCCAGCACTCCCACCCTGGGAGTTATTTATTTATTTATTTATTTAAAGCTGAGATCCAGAGGCAACAGCACAAGGCTTCCTATAGTCTGAGGAGTAGATCTCCCAACCTCTACAACACATCTCTTCTTACGATATACTTTCCATCTTTTTCTCTCCCTCTGCCACATCTTCCATTAATTCCTATATATTCCTTTCTTCCAAGTTCAGACAGCTTAAGGTGAAATGAAACACAAGTACATTTTGGAGAGAAATATGCCTAAATTATACTGGTGTTTCCAAATGCAATGGATTTTTAAAGTGGACAAACTGAAGAGAGAGAACTACCTGGTCTGATACAAGCTATTCTAGACCTCAAATATCATGGAAAGATTACCACTGACAGCCCTTTATTTGGATATGTCTTGAGGCATGGGTGTGTTTTCCCAAACAAAATAGATTAAATTAGAAAAGGATAAGGAGGTTGGTGAAAGAAATGATTAACACAGTTAATCTGCACAGTCAGATGGGAGTAATGGAATTTACATACATCAAAAATTTGAGCATGGGAAGATTCAGATAATTTTACTGATGTCCAATGAAACCAGAGACAAAGCTAAAATCCAAACCAGTCTGCCTACATCCCAAAATGGATTCCATTCCATTGTAAAATAAATGGCAAAAATGGAAAAGACAAGGATGGTTGCTAAACTCTCTCTCTCTCTCTCTCTCTCTCTTTGTTTTGTTCCGGAACCCCTGTCCTTTTTGCCATGCTGCTGCTTAAACCCCTTTCTCCTCTTTACACCATGGACGTCTCAGCCTTGTCAGATTACTCAGCAGCTGTGTAACAGGAACCCTTCAGCTGTCATGATGCATAAGGGGTGAGCATGTCTCAGCTTCATCCTGCTCTTTTCAGACCCTGTGTCGAAATACCTGATACTGGGCAGAGAGATGGAAGCAGTTTATTAATCTACTAGCTATGGTAAATTGTTTGACATATTCTTTCTACAATCCCATTATCCTGATTTTACCTGTTTTCTATGATGCATTTCTCTTCAAACCCATCTCCTGCTAGGTTTGCTGTCACCAGTAACATATGGAAAGCACGGCTTGCTTAAAAATCTCAAACTCATCACTATGCTGCACATATCCAGAGCTCAGCTGAGCTCCATGTGTCCATCTGCAATCTCACAGGTGTGGTCAAATGGTCAAAAACTACCTTCAAGGTTCTGACCCTCATGATTTGCCAACAGTTCATTAAAGACTGATGCAATTTAGAATATCACCATGTTTTCCATCTAAATCCATCTTATCCATTGCGGCCATGAAAACATCCACTGTGCAGAAGGCCATCTCCAAGACTACCAACTAAGTACCACAACATCCTGGCAAAAGAAAAGATGCCCACAAATTGTGTCACCTAATCCAACATCACTCTGTCAGTTAAACCGCTTTTTAAGCACAGAAAAACCTAGCCTTACCATTTTCATGGTGCGGAGGCTGGAAGAAGAATCTTAGTAGAAGTGTGCAGTGATGAGCCATTCAGTGTGGAAGAGTATGGCTCCAGCATTTTTGCTTACCCAGTGCCAAGATTCTTGGTTATTCTCTAGTTACAGGGAAAGGGGGTGAAGGCCAGTGATGTACATTCCATTTCACACGTGCTGTTGGGAATGCTTGATCCCTGCAGGCATTTCTGCTAATACTGGAAACATGGCCGATCACAACTCAAGCAAGCTGCAAATCCCAGAGGGAATGTTTTTTAGAAACATATTAATGCCTCATTAAATAGAAGGTTGGGTGGCCATTTTTAAATCACAATTATACCACAAACAATGGGATTCATTTTTTCTAAATAACACACAAATATAATAATTCCATCAATTTTTTTTGCTGGACCCTTCTAGACAGGAAGAGAGCTTGAATGGCACCAACCAGCAGATCCCTCTCTTTCCTTGACCGGCTTCTTATATCCTGAATTGTATTGCAGCCGATGTGAGGGACAAGTGAAACAGGTGTTTCTCCAGTCATGGTGGCCCTAGACTCTTAAAAATATAGGCCAAAATTCTGTTGTTTAGAATAATAAATCACATTACAGTAGGCTCACTAAATCAATGGGGATTCATTGAGTCAACTCCTCCATAAATTCCATTGATTCAAATGAGATTTCTCTAGTTGTGATTTACATTTAGGCCCATTTAAATCAACGGAACTTACTGAAGAATTGACTCAGTGAACTCCCATTGATTTAATGGACCTATTCTAGTGTGATTTATTATGTTAAGCAACATAATTTTGGGACTTTGGCCTGGTAACTCTTAGTTTTAACTTATTTGTACACAACCAATTACTGCCTGTTTCTACTGTAAACATTTGTGTCTGTGTTATCAAAAGGAGTTTTACTCTTTAACTGTCAGATCATGACTCCCACATTTTGACAGGAAATAAAATGAATGTTGAAATTCTTATGAGTCCCCAGGTAGCAATACACTTTCCCCCGGGTATAAAATACAAACACTTTAGTGTTTCCAAGCATCCTGCAGAGACGTTTGTGTAGAGTGGGTGGCATATAAGTTA